ATCCCTTCACCAGCACCATCTGCCCATTCCAGTCCAGAGGCAGATGATTAGGAGATAGTTTCCTTTTAAATATTTTCTAGTAGCTTGAAAATGTTTGAATGTATCACAAAAAAAATAGAAGTAATAAATAAACATTGTTATTTCTATTTACATTTCAAAAGCCCACGTGTACAACAATTATAAAATAAAAGGCACACGTGACATATTAAAAAGCCAGATTTCAAATAACTCATGATAAAGATCAAAATCGTGAAAGAAAAAGGCGAAATCAAAACCATTTCAGCAAAATAAAGAGCTTCAAGGAAACTAGCTCTAACCTTCTACACCAATAAAAGAAGGTACGTCGAAAAAAGGAAAAGACCAACGGAAAGGCTCGATGATCCCCAAGAGGATCCTTGCCTACTCCAGAGGCAAAACAAAAGTTACTTCATGACTCAGCACCACCACATGAGTCGTAAAATAATCATTTGAAGCTTCAATCAACATCCTTCCACCCGAGAAAGAAGGAAGTCATTAACATGAAAAAGCCAACGCAAAGGCTTGATCATCCCCAAGCGGATCCTTGCCTACTCCAGAGGCAAAACAAAAAGATTACCTCACGACTCAGCTGTATCACCACATGAGTCATCGAGCACACTCATCCAGAATCTCTGCCACTTCCCCAAAGGAGAATAAGGACTACACAAGAGTTCATCAAAGAAAATACGGAGTCAAATCCTCCATATCACCAGGGGGCAACAAAAAGAAAGAAAAGAAAAACTTTCATTCCCCAATAGAGGCCACAACGAAAAAGGCCAAGTAAAAAATCTCCAAGTAGAGTATATCAAGAAAATCTACAAAAAGAGGAAAACAAAAATTTTTCCATCTTGTAGACCCCTAATTTTGCCCGGTCTCTCAATAAAGGCTAAAGAGACTTCCTACAAACAAGATAGAGATCGCCTGGCATCTCAATAAAAGCCAAGAAGACTTCCTATACGAAGATAAAGATTCAACGGGCGTCTATAGGCATCAACCAACGTCCGAATAAAGAAAGGAAAGCTTCCCGGGGGTCCCAGAACACAAAAGCTGGCCAAAACAGGTCGAGACGGCCGTTCCAAGGTCGAGACGACCGTCCCAACCTTCCCTGGCCAAGTGGGACGGCCGTCCCAAGTGGGACTGCCAGTCCCAGCTTTTCAGGGGGTCCCGGCCTTTGTAAATCATGCAGTTGTGCAGGCAGCGAAAAACTATAAATAGGAGGCTCATTTGCCACTGTTTCCCCACACGTAACTAACTCCCTTACCTAACTCTGGTTATAATGGCCATGTTTGGTTTTTATTAAAATCAACGCCTTTTTATCCTTTTCCAATGTTTACGGTCAAAACATTGGTGGCGACTCCATAAGAACCCCTTTTCGAAAACCTTGCTTTTATTAGAGGATAGTTCAGTTGTTGAGCACCTCGGAAGCAATGAACATAATTTTAACATAAAACGCGAGTCTAAACCATCTTTTCGCGACCGCTCGCATAAACGTTCGAGATGTCCCTGGACGTCGGAACGGACGGCGGCGACAGATGGCGACTCCGCTGGGGAAGCTAGAGAGTTGATCCCATTTAGTGACGGATAAAATTCAAACTAAGTAAAGATTTGAAATTACGCCTTTACCCTTTTCCGTATGTTTTATTGTATGGCTTTAATAATTGTTGTATGATTATTTTCTGCAAATTGTCTGAAATATAAATTGCACACAAAAACCCTTGCACACAACAGTCCCTCTATACCCGGGGGCAAGAGTGAATACCTATAGGGAGTGGGTGGCAGATACGACCGGCTTGTTGGCACACGGGGCTACAACCGTTGTCAGAAACCACCAACTCAAGGTGATAACTCTCTTCTTTTGGTCTAAGGATGTCGACACGGAGTTCCGTGCATGACCCGAGGACTGAGAGATTGAGAGATCCCTATAATGGGGGCACCTTGGGGACCTTTGGCCTTGGTGAGAACAGTTTAGAACCACCCAAACCAAGCACGTTTCTGCAGGAAAACCCTACCTCGTGATTAAATAAGCATGGCTCTGCTCATGGATGTATGAATTGTGTGTGCATTCGTTTGCTGCATTTGTATTGATGCATTAGCATAGGGTAATCATACAACAAACAAAATAGTGAAAAACCCTAAAAATCATAAAAGTGAGAAGATAAGCCAACTTTATCTCGGATAGTCTTCAGTTAAGCTAGCCTGGTTTCAGGTTCTTTGTAAGCTAAGTAGCCACGTTGACCGACAGAAGAGATAAATGCACTAAGGTATGTTGGCAACCTTTGAAAAAAGGAAGTTAACACATTAAGGTGGGTATGGTATCCTTAAAACGTAGGTTTTTGAGAAGATACCATAACTATTGTCTAAGGCATATCTATTTCACACTAATCATTTGAAATAAAAAGCTATAATGAAAACCGTTAAAATCATTTAGAAAGTGGCTGGTCTTCCGCCCGTCCTCACTCGTGCTAAGAAAGCAAAGAAGATGGAGCAACTAGAAGAACAAAACCGAAAGCTCACCACTGAGCTTAATACGCTGAAAGAGCAAATGGCTCAGATGTTAGACATGATGCGCCAACAGAACCTCCATAAAGAGGGTCCTCAAAGTGGACAAGCCTCTCACCAAGAAGAAGAAGAGGAACCTCAGGATGAGCATGACCCATCTGATACAAGAGCAGTACATATTCATTCTCCAGAAGTATCAAAGAAATAAATTACTGCTCTTGAAGAGAGGCTGAGAGCCATGGAGGGGCATAACTTCGATGTAGAGGCAACTGATATGTGCCTCGTTAAAAACATCCAAATCCCTAACAAATTTAAAACTCCGGACTTCCCTAAATACATGGGATTAACTTTCCCCAAAAGCCATCTTACAATGTACTGCCGTAAGATGGCTGCGTATGCTGACAATGAAAAGCTCCTGATCCATTGCTTTCAGGAGAGCCTAGCTGAATCAGCTCTAAACTGGTATATGCAACTGCAAGGAGGGCAAGTCCAAACATGGAGACATCTGGCAGATGCTTTTCTTCGTCGCTATAAATACAATATTGATTTGACCCCTGAAAGAGCAGATCTACAATTGCTAAGCAAGAAAAACGATGAATCCTTTAAGGCATGCGCCCAAAGATGGAGGGAATTGGCAGCACAAGTAGAACCTCCTCTGTTCGACAAGGAAACCACATCCATGTTCATCAATTCTCTGACTGGTCCCTATTATGACAAAATGATAGGGAACACATCAACACTCTTTGCGGATGTGGAGAAAGAGTAGAGCAAGGTCTAAAAAGCGGAAGAATCACACAGCATACTTCCTCTAATTCCTCTACTCCAAATGTTAAAAAGAGCTTCGGAAAGAAGAAGGAACGAACTGTAAATGCAATCAACATTGCCACTCCTTCTTCCTCCTCGCAACAAACCAAGCCACGCAGACAAGAGAGGAAATTCATCTCCATACCTACCTCCTATGGAAGTCTGTTTTTGAAATTGTTGGACACCAAGCTCCTCGTGCGTTTCCCTCCCAAGAAAATAGAGCCACCATATCCAGAATGGTACAAGTCTAATGAAAACTGTGATTACCATTCGGGTGTGTAGACCCCAAATCTTGCCCGACCTCCAAATAAAGACCAGAAGACCTCCTATTTGAAGATGGACGAAGCCTAACAAGCCATTAGGAGAGACTATTAGGCCCCATACTAGGATAGGAGGGAGTTTCTGTACAAAAACTAAGTTTTCTTGCCTTGTTGGGACGAGACCGCCCTCTGGATTTTCCAGACCGCCGTCTCGCCACCTGCGAAGGACGAGACGGCGGTCTCGTTCCCCCAGACGGCGGTCTCGTTCCCCCAGACGGCGGTCTCGCCGCGTTTGACAGGTCGAGACGGCGGTCTCATTGGATGAGACGGCGGTCTCGACCCTATCAGACGAGACCGGCAGTCTCGCCACCTGACAGCGCGAAAACCTATAAATAGGGGCTCTCCCCCCCTCATTTCCACACACCACAATCTTCTAGCTCTGCCTTCTCTCTAAAAACTTCTCTCTAGAATCCCTCCGACGCATTTCCGGAGTTTCTGAGTATCTTTGAGAGCATTTTTCGGCGTCCAGAATAGTTTCCGGCGTCTTGTAGAGTGAAGGGCTGCCAAAAAGCACCCTCTTTTAAAGAGAAATAAAAAAGAAAGCTTGCTTCGGAGGTTTAAACTCTTCCTCTCCCCTTTATCGCTTTAAATCTACATTATGCAATAGATTAGGGCCATGTAGTCATACTTTTAAATTCTGCACAATAAAAAAAGGGCAAAAGGGTATTTTCTAGTTTATTTATTAATAATAAAAGCTGGCCTATCATAGGGAACCCGAAAGGGGCGTAGTAAAGGAACTAATACTTCCTTTACCGCGTAACTAACTCCCTCACCCAACTCTGGTTCTAATGACCAAAGTTGGTTTTCAAAAACCAACGCCTTTTAAAAACCTTTTCCGATGTTTCCGGTAAAAACATCGGTGGCGACTCCATAGAACCCAAAATAAACAAGTCCTTGGGTTAGCCCGGTTATCGGACAACCCGAGGACACCTTTCGAAAACTGCGCCCCTAGGTTAGTCCGGTTATCGGACAACCTAAAGGCATTGTAACCACCCATAAAAACGCGAAAAACAAAAGGGTCGAAAAAACCATCGCGTCGCTCCGACCGACCTTCTCTTTTTGCACTACTACAAAATATACTTTCTACGTCGTCATTTAATGTCAATTATAGCTGAGACGACGTAGAAGTACTTTCCACGTCGGTTCCAGATGAACCGACGTTGAAAGTTGAATATTAAACACATTCTACGTCGGTTCTTAGTCAACCGACGTAGAAAGTACTTTTTACGTCGTTTCCCATATGAACCGACGTTGAAAGTCATTTTTTTTTATTTTTTTAGTTATTGACACTTTCCACGTCGGTTCCCATATGAACCGACGTGGAAAGTCATTTTTTTCACCCAAAAATTCAATTAAATTTGAAAATTGTCACTTGCCAGGATTTCGAACTCGGGATTTTAGAATTGGAAACTAATACTCTAACCACTAAACTATTATAATTTCCTGATAATAACTTACAAATAAATTATATTTATATACAAATAAATATATATCCATGTAAATATATATTTATTTGTATATATTTTCTGGAAAGTATTTTTATTTTTTTCGACCAAAAATTCACTTAAGTTAATGAATTGTCACCGACAGACATTTGAACCCAGTATTTTAGGGTTGTAAGTTAATATCCCAACCACTAAACTACTACAATTTTTTGATAATAACTTACAAATAAATTATATTGGTATTTTTTGACCGAGGGTGAAAGTGTGATTGACTCTCGCTTGAGTGAAAATATGTTAAAGCTCACGGAAATTCACTCACTCAAGTCTCGCTTTAGCGAAAATTGGTATTTTTCGCTTGAGAGCGAATAACGCGTTTCCCAAATTTATTTTATATTATTATATAAATAAAATTATAAAGATTATATTATGTCATTAAATTACAAACTCATATAAAGATACCTGCTCACAAATTTATAATCAAATTTTGAAAACCTACTCGACACACACTTTCACTTTCGAGTGTACCCTCACATTCAACATATAAATATATAACTATATAAATATATCAAAATATATAAATATATTTGTATTTATATATTTATATATTTACACGGATATATATTTATTTGTATATAAATATAATTTATTTGTAAGTTATTATCAAAAAATTCCGAGTAGTTTAGTGGTTGGAGTATCGGCCTCCAACTCTAAAGTACTGGGTTCGAATCCTGCCAATGACAATTCTCTTAAAAAATTAATAAACTTCTAAAAAATATAATATAAAGAGATGGAAGACCTAATAAAAATATAATATAAAGAGAGGGGAGACTTCTAAATAAATAAAGGGGGTAAAGGAGTTGTAAATAAATAAAAATTATTAATTTAAAAAATTATACTTTCAACGTCGGTTCCTAATAAACCGAGCGTTAAAAGTCCGTAACTTTCAACGTCGGTTTATTAGAACCGACGTTGAAAGTTATGGACTTTCAACGTCGCCTGATACAACGTCGGTTGTTGAACCGACGTTGAAAGCCTTCCAGAACCGACGTTGAAGGATTTATTTGTAGTAGTGTTGAGACGGCGGCGACAGATGGCGACTCCACTGGGGAAGCCTCGAGAGTTGATCCCATTTAGTGATGGGCCGGCTTAAATAATAAATAAACCAAGAAAATAACACTTTTGCCCTTCACTTGTATTATAACATGCTTTAATGTTTGGCTTTAATAACTGTTGTTTGTTTATAATTACGCAATTGTTTGAAATATAAACTGCACACAATCCCCTGCACACAACAGTTCCCCCTATACCCGGGGGCAAGTGAGATAACCATAGGGAGTGGGTGGCAGGTACGGTTCGCTATAGTGAGGGCCTTGAGCCCACCAGTGTGATCGGAAACCACCACTCAAGGTGATAACCTTCCTCTTTTGGCAACAAGACTGACTATGGCCTTAGTGCTAAGCATGGTCGGACGACTGGAGAGTGGGGACCCTATAATGGGGGCACCTTGGGGGCCTTAGCCTGGTGAGAATAGTTAGAACCAACCCTGGCAAATGCACTTTTCTGCAGGAAAACCCTACCTCGTGATAAAAACGAAATCTCGCCTGTTCGGGGATGATTGAATTGTGTGTGCATTTGATTGTTGCATTTGTATGTTGCATAGCATAAACAAACAACAAAACAAAAAAAAAACCAAAAAATATTCTTTACAAATAAACACCCTTATCTCGGACAGTCTGCCTTTTAGCTAGCCTGGTTTCAGGTTCTTTGTAAGCTAAGTAGCCACGCAGTTCCGACAGAAGAGATAAGGGACGCTAAATATTCTTTCACATAAAGCCATATTTTATCTCGGACAGTCTGTCTTTTAGCTAGCCTGGTTTCAGGTTCTTTGTAAGCTAAGTAGCCACGCAGTTCCGACAGAAGAGATAAAAGGCTATAAAATAGACAAATAAAAATCAAAATAAAAAATATAATAAATAAAACAACTTCTGACAAAGTCAACTCATTCATACTACATCATACCATGAGTAAAGAAAAAAACCAAGAGAAAAAAATGAGAGCGCATTCAGCATCATTTAAATAAAACCTCTCATGCACAAGCATACTCATTTTAGTTCAAGCACTCAACATGCATTAATAAAACTTTTTCGGACATTCTAGAAAGTGGTTGGTCCTCTCCCCACTCGTACTCGTGCACAAAAAGCAAAGGTGATGGAAAACCTAGAGGAGCAGAATAGAAAGCTCACCGCAGAGGTCAATACCCTCTGCGAGCAAATGGCCCATTTAATGGAGGTCGTACGCCAGGGGCAGAGCAGGGGCGAAGACCAAGCTGAACATGTCCCTCCCCACGAGGAAGAGGAGGAAGAATACTTTTTTGGCGAGCAGGATGCTAAGACTGCACGCATCCTTACCCCAGAAGTGTCTAAAAAACAACTCTCCGCCCTGGAAGAGAGGCTGAAGGCGGTCGAAGGGCATAACTTCGACGTCAAGGAGGTGGCTGACATGTGCCTCGTGAAGGACATCCGCTTCCCTCCCAAATTCAAAATCCCGGACTTCCCCAAGTACGCTGGGATGACCTGCCCCAAGAACCATCTTACGATGTATTGTCGTAAGATGGCCGCCCACGCTGAAAACGAGAAACTCCTGATCCACTGCTTCCAGGAGAGTTTGGCAGACACAGCGCTTAACTGGTACATGCAGTTAGAGAGAGGGCAAGTCCAGAACTGGAAACAGTTGGCTGACGCTTTTCTCCGTCGTTACCGATACAACATCGATCTGACCCCCGACAGGTCAGATCTCAGAGCTCTGAGCAAGAGGAACAACGAGCCCTTTAAAGCGTACGCCCAAAGGTGGAGGGAAATGGCAGCCCAGATAGAGCCTCCCCTCACAGACAAAGAAACAGTGGCTATGTTCATAGACTCACTGACCGGAGCGTACTACGACAAGGCGATAGCCAGTACCTCCAATCTCTTCTCGGACATAGTCATTGTAGGAGAAAGAGTGGAGCAAGGGTTGAGGAGCGGCAAAATAGCACGACCCTCTCCTTCCAGCACGTCATTCAAGAAGCCCTTCAAAAAGAAGGAAGAGGTCGTGCACGCCATTAATTTTGCAACCCCTTCCTCCACCCCTCAGGCAGAGCGGCAGCCACGAAAAAAGGAGAGGAAATTCACGCCTATCCCCACCTCCTATGCGAAGCTGCTACCCCAGCTGTTGGAGGCCAGCCTCCTGGCCCGCGTTCCTCCCAAGAAGCAGCTGGAGCCTCCCTATCCCGAATGGTACAAGCCCAATGAAAAATGTAGCTACCACTCGGATGCACCAGGGCATTCAACCGACAACTGCTTGACCTTGAAGTATAAGGTCCAAGAATTAATTGACGCTGGTTGGATAACCTTTGACGCCTCTGCTTCCAGCACGGATGACAAATCTCTGTCGAAGCCAGAGTAGCAGAGAGGGAGGACTGGGAGGATCAGCCCTAGGGTCTTGTCTTTTTGAAGCTTTTTTCTATATCTTCTGCGGTCCCCGCCCGTGGCCACAGGAATTTTGATTAAAAGGGCTTGTACATACATCTTCATCTTCATTAATATATGAGGCATTTTGTCATATTCATTCTTTTCCCTCTTCTATTATTCTTTCAAAAAAATAAAATGAATAATAAAATCTATGACTAAAACAGAACCTAAAACACATCATGTCTGTGATTGATGAAACTCTGTGGACCCCGGAAACGGAAGGCGAATGGATTGAATCCGACAGTGAGCAGGAGACCATTTCTCCGAATATGCAAAGAATGCTAGAAAGAGAAACGTGCATCATACAACCACATCGGGAAGAAATAGAAACTGTTAATTTGGGAAAAGAGGATGAGGAGAAAAAGGTGAATATCGGCACCCAAATGGAAAGTAACATGAAAAAGGGATTGATACAGCTTCTGAAAGAATATATGGATGTATTCGCTTGGTCATATCATGACATGCCTGGGCTCGACACGAGCATAGTAGAACACAGATTACCACTAAAAGAGGGGTTCTGACCTATAAAGCAAAAGCTCAGAAGAATCAAACCCGACTGGTCCTTAATGATAAAAGAAGAGGTGCAAAGGCAGTTGGATGCCAATTTCTTGGTGGTCTCCAAATACCCAGAATGGTTGGCCAACATAGTACCCGTCATCAAAAAGACCCGAAAGGTCAGGGTCTGCGTGGATTACAGGGACCTCAATCGAGCAAGTCCAAAAGACGACTTTCCCCTGCCACACATAGACACACTGGTAGACCATACCGCTACCAACACGTTGTATTCCTTCATGGACGGGTATACGGGGTACAACCAAATCAAACTGGCCATTAAGGACAGAGAAAAAACCTCCTTCATTACACCATGGGGCACTTTCTGCTATCGGGTAATGCCATTTGGGCTGAAAAATGCAGGGGCTACCTACCAAAGGGCTATGGTCACATTATTCCATGACATGATCCACAAGGAAATAGAAGTATATGTGGACGACATGATCGCCAAGTCCAGAAATGAAATGGACCACATTCAATATCTCCAAAAGCTTTTTGATCGACTTCGGAAGTATCAACTTAAGCTAAACCAGGCAAAATGTACTTTCGGAGTACGATCAGGAAAACTCCTAGGGTTCATTGTCAGTGAAAGAGGAATCGAGGTGGACCCCGACAAAACAAAAGCAATTTTGGAAATGCCTCCACCAAGCACAGAAAAGGAGGTCAGAGGTTTCCTGGGCAGGATTAACTACATTGCCCGTTTCATCGCACAGTTGACGAATAAATGTCTACCCATCTTTAAGTTGTTGCGCAAAAACCAGCCAACGGTGTGGGACGAAGAATGCCAACAAGCATTCGATAAAATCAAAACTTGTTTAACCAATCCACCAGTATTGGTACCACCCATTGAAGGGAGACCTCTGATCCTGTATCTATCAATCCTCGAAGAGTCAATGGGATGTGTGCTCGGCCAACATGACAAAACCGGGAAAAAGGAACGG